AAGCGGAGAAGGCGGCGGTCCATGCTGGCAGTGCCGGCAATGTGCGGGAGGTAGACAGGAGAGACGCCCTACGTGATTTATATGCACATTTCTGCTTGGTGCTGATATCACGATGTCGCGATGTCGTTTTGGAAGCAGTGTCCATCAAGCCCAGGACGAAGATTCTGAAAATTGGGCAGCCACCATCTTTGTGAAAAATAAGACTAAAGCCCCAAACGAAGATGGCCACTATCACTAGCAAACAGCAGGCCAGATGGCACAGTCCTGACACGGTCTGCTCAAAATCCAACTGTGTACTTTCGGCAAATGTGGTCCAAAAACCAAACAGTTAGTATACACATTGACACAGTCGTAACCGTGTATCCTAGGAAACCGTGTATTCTACACAGTTGTTTGAGGGTACACGGTTAAAACTGTGTCAATGTGTGTACTAACTGTGTAGTTTTTGGACCATATTTGCCGAAAGTACACAGTTGGATTTTGGGCAGACCGTGTCAGGACTGTGCCATCTGGCCTGTTCTCTACTAGTGTACAGACGTATGTTTGACTGTGTGCAATTTGATCGCAGATCAGCTGTCGCCACATGTTTGTGTTCAGGAGCGATTGCATTTTGGTCGCACAGATAAAGCTGACGTGGCATCCAACGTCTGCATGCCTTCGGCCTGGGCCGTTGCCACGGTTCGGTCGAGTACGGCCACTGGGGCCGAAACAGTATTGGCACAGAAGGCGAAAAATCGGCATGAAAGCGCAAATGATTCTGAGCACAAAATACGCCCATCATCATATAATGGCTACAATGAACGGCTGCCGCTGTCGACGAACCGTTTGCAGCAATTGGCGGTTGCCGTTGACGGCCGATGGACGGCCTGCGGCTCCGGATCTCAGGATCTGGACCCGCATCCGGCATCAAAGCCAGGCAACGGACAAAAACAAAATATCGAGCAAAATGGACGCCAGTAGTTAACACCGCTTGTACCACAAAATATAGAACAGAATTCGCAAGTGCAATTCGCTCTTGTTCAAAGAGAGGCTACGGCGCACACGCCAGTAGCTAATGCCATTTTGATATGTCAAATGCGAAATCGTTTGGCATTAAAGAATGCTATCACAATTGCTCTCATGCCATCGCAACCGCCATGACGGCATCCCTCATTGTCGAGCTGGCATTCCAGTTGGAATCGCCAACACGTTTTTTTCTGCCAGTGACACGGTTTAGAACTCTCGCGCCGCTGTGGAGGACGCATGTTACGGTGCAAATTGGAGGGCCCAAGGGTGGCGACAGTGGCAGGTGTCATTTGCATTATGCCCTAGTTCGATTCCACATGCTCCACATATCGGGGGAATTTATTCGAGGGAAATTTAATCGGGGAAATTTGTTCAGGCTGCGTAAACTTAGCGCACGCAGTGCTTTTCAGGAGGCCTGATTGTCGGGGTAGTCTCTGTGTCGATTGCCCGAGGCTTGGCGTCAATTGGTGATAGCGGTTGGGTTGGGGGCCGGGGGGTGGAGCGATGGCGATGAGTGGGACCTGAGCTTAGCATCAATTTGGTAGGAAGCACCACGAGCAAATCAACAGAATACGCTCCCTTAAAGAAGCCGCTATGCTGATTTTGTTACGCTTAGCGTCAATTTGACATCAAGCTCAGACCCCACCCCAACCCTCTCCCTCAGCGTCAATCTTTATACCGAAGCTAGGATGGCTCAGCGACATTACGCAACAGTGGAATGCAATGCGCAGCTGGTTTTGAAAAAAGAATACGCCCAGAGTCGTGCCAATCTTCGTGGGCTGAAAAAACATTAGAGGCAAGGCGGGCAAATTCAATGGCTAGAAATTGACGCATTCTAAGGACTTCTTTGAAGACTGAACATTTCAGGGAAGTTTAGGAACAAGTCACGAGTGTTTTGCTGCTCATCAGCAGCGCTTTCAGTCATCTTTCCACCATATGTCGATTTTGTTGCGATTGCATAATCTCTTAGCGTCATTGGTCTGACCCCACCTCACCCCATCCCAGCATCAAATCGACGCCAAGCATAAAGAAAATCTACATAGTGATTTCCTTACGCAACAGGCGCCGCATTAATGCCAACCCCGGTGTCCCCCACGATTCTAATGTTACATCCTCGAGACCCGACTTGGAGCGCGCCGGAAATGATATTCTTAGAATCCGAGTCAGCTCTCTCATAAAGAATCGACCCCTGGCACATGGGTGTTGCGTGAGGTGCGGGGCTATCCGGCACGGGTGTCATGGCCATGCGTCCCCGGGGCGGGCGGTAGCTGCGCTCGAGGGCGGCCGAGGGGAGGGCGCGGCTATTGCTGCCGGGGCTGCAGCGCGCTGCGTCCGCTCGTTCTTGAGACGTGCTTTCTAGGCGCGATCCACCACACCCCCGATCGCCACAGCCGATGGCCGCCACGGCGATGGCTCGCGTCCAAAAGCTCAACGGCCAAACCTGCAGCCTCCTGCAGGGCTCTCCCTGGGTTCTAGGCGGCCCCGTGGCCTTGCAGCACGCTCTTGTAGCCATCTGCGCTGCGTCTGCGGCACGGAATGCAACCGCCACCCGCCTCGAGGCCAGCCGTTCAGGCCCCCGGGCCCAGGAGGGAGTTGAGGGAGTGTTGCAGAGATCGGAGGTGTGTCTCCAGCCCCGGCCGGGAAGTGTGTTTGAACGCGACCATGGCTGGAACGTCGATCTCTGCAATCGCGAACGCGGCTCGCGGTGTGCTGCAATCACACGCAGAAATTGTGGAACGCAATCTGGTGTCATCGTGCCGGTTAAGGCCAATGAGGCTGCGGCGATGGCCTGCGATCCAAACGTGCGAGTACTGAAGGGATCCCCACAAGGGCTCCTCTGGGTCGGATAAGGGGTGAGAACTCCTGCGACGGTGCTGCGCGACCCTGGGCGTTAGAGTGGCGAAAGACGCAACAATCGAAGAACGCGATGAGCGAATCAATCTATATCAACAGTGCCACCTAGCCACCAAGCAAGTGGGCTTGGTATGCGTAAAGACAAAAACGTGCAGAACGTAGGGACAAAGGCCTGACCTCTGGACTGGAATTGCATGTCGGCAAATAATGTGTCCTCATACCCATTAGTGATAGTTGCTATTCTATTAATGGGTCCCTCCCAAGGACGGCGATGGGTGGGCTGCGCCCAAGCTTTGCGACGGCAGCTGTTTTAAAGGCCATCAGGATCTGTCCTTTGACTGATCCAAGGTACCCGGTTGCCCCAAATCAATTTCCAAGGAATGGAATGAGGACACTCAACTATTGGGCGCCCTTGAAATCGGCGGGTTGTTTTGGAGGCGAGCTAGTGTGGCTATTTAGGCCCACCTCTTGGTCGGCACACTGGTTTTGCGCAGTAGCCCTACCACCCGGAGACTGAGGTTCAGTTATTTGAGGGTTGATGCGAGGGAGTTAGGTTGCGGCGGGTACGCTGGGCTGACCCAGGACTGCATCACGCATAGTGCGGCTGAATGTACTGCGAAGGGTAGTGCACATCACGCATCGTAAGGCTGAACGTACTGCGGAGCGTGGTGCACATTAGATTTTGGGACTCCGGTTTGACATGACGGATACAAGGAGACCAGCGAAGCAGAAGCAAAATATTGGTGCATTTTTTACATAGCAGATGCCATGTCAGTGCTTTTACCAATGTACACAGATTGAGATGGAGAATGATCGGAGCATCAATGGCACCAAAACTATAGAGTAACACACGCATCCCGATCCATAAGCAGACCCACGCTGGTGGCTCCGCTTCCGCCACGAATGTTGATTGCAGTCAGAAAATCATGGAGGTTTGCCTAATAACTCAGAGGAGGTCGAGTTGGCAGAGCGATCCTTCCCACGAGATGTGCCAAAATTGTCAGCAATCCAGAAGACAACTGGAGCCCACACTTCGTACCGCCCCAGCATGCACCACCAGAATACGCTATTTCTTCAAACCATTAGCCACTGTCGACGTTGGCCTCACGTACAAACTGCGCCAAACGACCAACAGAAGCGCCCAAAAGGAACCACTGCACTCATGGAGACGCCACCTGTTTGCCCATTGCATATGAACATCAGCATCGAAAAGATGTATCTCCGCTAGATTGGGTGTCCCGATTGTCAATTAAGTCACCCTCACACCGCCGCCGGACGACTCGCGTTCTGAAACATAAGGGCCCTGGCCTTTGCATTTAACGCCATGTTCGTCTACCTGCCCACTGCGGCCACACAGGCACCTGAAATTTTTAGACGACTTTGTTGGTGTCAGACAGTAACCGCACCATGGTGAGGCGTTCACATTGTACCCGACCTCGTCGCCCACACTGCAGGCAGCGTATGGAACAGGATCTTTGTCAGCCCTCTTAATCTCCTTGCCGTTGTTGTACCCCCCCGGTAGAGCAACATAGTGCAGGTTTTGATTTTCACAGATCTCCTTGCATCCTGCTCCGTAATATGCACTACATTCCTCGGGATTAAGGTTCTTCTTCGTGAATGGTTTTTTGTTCCCTTCGAACCATTGCAGCAAGCCCCGTTCTTTCTCGCAGATGCATGCATAAGCTGGGGTAGTGTCGTTCCTGCATGTCCCACCATCTCCTTGTGTATACCTCCAGTGATGTTTATCACCGTTCTGCCCTGTGCCTTTTTCCACTCGACACACTGGGGTGGGTGGGTGAGTGGGATCGTAACCGCTGATGCCTGGTCGCATGCCCTCAGGATGTTTGTCCGCAAATTGGCCAAAGCACCCTGAGGATACTGCCACCTTGAACTGGTCACCCTGATCAGCGCAGACATCTTCACAAGTCCCCTCACCCCTGCTGATCTTCAATATCCAGTCGCATCCTGTTTCACAAAAATCTCCATTCAGATACCTGAGCATTCAATTCATCTATTCCAAAGCTACCGATCAGTAGTCTGTGCAAGTCCAGGCAAGGATGCATGTCGTCTTCTAAAGCAACCATTTCTTCCGCAACAAGCGTCATTCGCAGTGCTGTTCGGATAGGGTTAATTATTTCCAGTTACTTGCAAATAGGCCAAGGACTAAACAGCCTGTTTTGTTTAGCAATGCACGTCTCCGCCCTGAAGATGTGCAAAGATGAAGAGAAGCTCAACCCACCTGGTGCTGAGTCCGGGAAGAAACAAAATCCACCATAGTTGACAAGCTTTTCACCCCCACTCTTTGGTTCGACGCACCCATCGGGAGCGCACCCGCACTCGCCAGGTCCGTCGAGCGGTGTCGCGCAGCCAGTGATAAACTCCACGGCACAGTTGCATTCTGTCTTGCTGTTGTTCAACTTATAAAACACGCTGCACGCCTCGCAGGTCCCACATTCCGTGTCGCTGCACTTTGCACAGTTGTCGATTTTGCAATCTGGGCAGCGGCAGTTGCCAAGCTCGTCGAGCTCCTTGGGAGGCTCGCACTCCTTGCACTTGTGGGCGCAGTCCTCGGGGTCGCACTTCTCGCAGCCTTTGACGTCGCATCCGTCGCACTCGCAGGTCGATGTGGTCGGGTTGAACACCAAAGGTGACTTGCATGCCGTGCACTTGCAGTCGGGCGGCTCACACGCGTCGCAGCCATACCCACAGTCCCCGCAGCCACAAACAGATCCCAGGGGATAGCCTGCGGGCTGAAGCGGATATTCGCACGTGTTGCATGTGCAGTCTTCTTCGTTGTACGTCACGCAGTGATCCACACTGGGGCCGCAGACGCACTCCGTGCCGTCCTCGTTGATGACGTATGGCTCGTAGCACACCTTGCACACTTTGCAGTTTTCTGCGAGGTAGTCTTTGCAGTGCTCGACCTCGGACCTTGCGCACACGCACTGCGTGCCGTCCCACTCGTAGTCCTTGTCGCAGATCTCACACTGGCTGCAGTCCGTTCGGTCGTAAGCGGAACAATGCGGGATGGGGGCGTACGACGTGTCGCATATGCAGTTCCCCTCGTCGTCCGGAACGTATGGCTCTTCGCACTCATCGCATAGCCCACAGTTGTCTGGCGAGCAAGTCTTGCAGTAGGGCGCGTTGCACGGGTCGCAGGTGCACTGCCCGCACTGGCCGTAGTCCGCCTCGGCCATCGAGTAGCCATCCAAACAGGCCGAGCACTGGTAGTAGTCGTCCTCGCAGCAATCCTTGCATCCGGGCGCGTAGCACGTCTCCACCTCGCAGCTGCCATCTGGCCGTTTCTTGTACCCAACATCGCAGATCCCACAGACATGGGTGCAATTTTGGAGGTCGCAAACGGCGCAGTGGGGCACAGAGCAGACCGCAGGGTCGCACACGCACTCGTCTGCGGCCAGGAAGCCCGAGCAAGGATCCCTGGGACCGTCGGTCGGGCTCATGCTCACGCCACTCATGGGCACTTCCGGATAGTTCTCCAGAATGTAGGGAGGCTGGCACTTTCTGCACTTGTTGGTGCCGTACGGGCAGCACTCGGCGCAGTTTTTCACCTCGCACACTCTGGCCTTGCACTTGGTGTTGTACTCCACGAGTTCGTAGTCGATTTCGCAAATCCTGCAGGTTTCGCAGTCCTCCTCGCACTCGAAGCAGTGCGGGATCTTGCACTCGCAGCCATCCTTCGGGCAGCTCGACTTGTCGTAGGACGGCTCCAGGTTGCCCGCGCACTCCAGGCACTCGTCACACTTTTTGGGGTCGCACTTCGCGCAGCCGTATATGGCGCACTCCGGGCACTCGCAGGACTTGCCGTCGCTGGCGAGGACGAGCGGCGGGTCGCAGATCACGCACTGGGCAGGAACGTCATCTCAGTCAGCATTGCCAGAACGAGACACAGTACTTTACGGCACCTGCTTGAATCGCCTTTCCTACATGTTTTTTTGCAAGCCTGGCCTATAGGTTACAGGTGAAGTTGACATTCGAAGTAATTTGCCCTCTTTGAGCTGGGCATTTGTTGTCCGCTTTAAGTATGCAATGCGAGGAACTGCATCAAAATGAATAACATACGCTCATAAACGATTCAACTATGCAGCTATTTTATACAATGCCGGTGTGCAATGCCCGACTGTTGATTTCGCGCACAAGAACGCCAAACCCTCGGATGTCTCTTTGGCGGTGAAATCACTAGCAAGTAAAGGACCAAATAACACTTTGCGAACACACATAAAACACGTTTTTCCAGAGTTCTGCACGCTAAGAGCACAAAAATAACACGAACCCGTAAACGTTTTACACGTTTGAACGTGTTATTTGCCCCTTTTCACCTAGTGAAACTGGGGGCGTCTAAAAAGCACTGAAATTCCCTTAAACGGCAGCACAGTCATGGATTACCAGTAATGATCACATCCGTAGGACAAAAACGGGCGCCAGCACAGCAGATTTGCCAGAGCAAGTAGACAGAAAGATCTGTCAAGGAAAAAAAGAATAGCAAAGAGAACGCACCAAGAAGAAATGAACAGTGAAACTTCATAAAATCAAGTCAATGGAGCACAAATGATTTTAACGGAGCAACAAATCTTGCAACTTGAGGACGCAACCCCCCCTTCAAAGCCACCCTCACGCACCTTATACCGGCTCAGCAGGTCACACCTCTGGCAGTTGTCCACCTTACAGACCTTCCAGTCGCACTTCCTGTCCGCCGTCAGCCCGTAGCCCTGGGAGCAGACCAGGCACTTGGAGCAGTCCTCGGCGTCGCACTCCAGGCACCCAGTGATGTCACAGGACGGGCAGGAACAGGTCTTCCTGTCATCCGACAGGACAGTGCCGTCGCAGCACCTCTTGCACTCGTCACACTTGAGCGGGTCGCATTCGCCGCAGGCGTAGACGGGGCACGACGGACACTCGTCGTTTTCCAGCCAGGTGGTGTCCAGGTGGCAGGGGCACTCGCCGGCCACGTGGCCCTCGTGGGAGCACGGGCAGCCCAGCTCACCCCTGTGTGGTATTTACATGGTTCCGTTAGTTGACCGTGCATATGCTGGTAGACGACAAGGTTGACCATGTGGCCGTCAGTTGACCATACGGTAGACCAAGCACCCGGCAGCTGACTGCAGGGCGAGGCATGAACAGCAGTGGCAGTTCGGCTCGCCTTTTTGCTGCTTTGCAGCCCTGTACGACATTCTGCTGGCGTCCGTCGGGTGTTTTTCTACACCCCGGCAAGCGGCTGGTGCCGAGCGCATAGGTGCTAAAAGTGCGACACGGGGAAAATTAAGAATTCGGCAGAATTCTGTGACAAATGCACACAGGAGGTGGATGCACATAAATGATCACGTAATAGGCGAGCAGCAGCAGCAGCGGATTCAGCATTCAGAACTGATAACGCGGGGGACGAGCGCCACAGGAAGGCTCCGATCTCACCGTTGAGCACTTTACAATCGAGTCCCTACAATTAATACAATTATTTACAATTTTTATTATTTACAATTATTGTGGCTATAGTCTTTGTCGATCAAATGTACTTCGCTGCAGCAGCCAGGAAATCAATGGGCAACGATGGGCAGAGCAATAGCCATGTTGCAAATGCATTTATGTATCTGCGGCATATTCCGCATTTGTAGCCGGCGTTTCACGGTGCCAATGTAAACATGCACTGTGTCACGTACTGATAAAAGGACTTGTTCTGAGTACAATTGAATGCAACACACTAGCAAAAAAAGGACCAAATAACACTTCTGCGAACACACATAAAACACGTTTCAAAGCTCTGCATGCTAGGAACACAAAATAACACAAACCCATAAACTTTTTCACGTTTGAGCACGTGTTACTTGGCTCTCTTTTTCCGAGTGACATGGTTACACATGTTTGCGTTTTGCTCGGCAATTGGTACACAGTCTATGATGTAAATTTCAATGAGGTCAGGTTGAGGACAAGTTTGTCTAGATTTAAGCAGCATGTTGCTGTGCACGTGCTCACCCATTCTGAGACAGAAGTTTTCGATTCAGCTGTGTTGCTTCATCTTGACCATCTGCAAAGGCGCACAGACGGAGAAGTCAATGTACTGAAGCCCCCACGCGGCGCAACACTGCATTGTTCATGTATTCGGACACATTAACTTTTCAACTCATGCCTAACGCAATCTACACCCAGTACACAATGCAAGACATCGAACAGCTGTGACAGAAATGCAGCCTGGGAAATTCAGGTATATTGTTGTGAAGATAGCCGAATCAAAAGAGGGCCCATCAAGGATGTAATCGGACGTTTAGCACTACAGTAACAAACGAGTATACATCGTCACAGCACGACACGTTATCGTTGTTGTATCAGAAAGTGGAGACAACTCATCAAAAATACTGGAATGCACATCAAAGGATATCGAAGCACCGCACCTGGTCCCTGAAAGCCGCCGTCCCTGGCGTCGACTGTGCACAGCAAGCTGGCTGCGAGCAGCCAGGCGCACGCCACGCGCGCGACCTTGGGCCCCATGCTCCCCCACCTACAACGAAGAAAGAGCGATACCCAAACGTCACACATCGTCACACGTCAAACGTCAAATGTCACGCATATGGCCCACAGCGGTGGGAAAAGGCACCGTCACTCACAAAAATGTTCGATCTGCTGAGCCCCACAGGCTACCCTGACCATTTCAAGGAAATTTCGACGCTGCGATATTTCGATATGAAGATGCGACAGATACGGAGCTTTCTCCATTGACGTCGCGTTCCTGTGCTGCTATTCAGGACAGGTTCACGGGACCAATACCCTGCACAGCGTTCCGAATCACGCCGTTGCCAGTGAATGACGAGGGCCCTACATCGCATTTTCCCGTCGCTGCGTCAGCCAGCATGAGGCGAGAAGCCTTCGTCTTGGCAAGCCACCCGACGCTGTTCCCATGACTGCGAAGGCGCTGCGCTGTGCGAACGGAACAAATGCAAGCGGGAGGGGGGGGGGTCGGCACAGCTGATGAAAATGTTGAACTCCCAAGAACCGACTGATGGACAGCGCTGGGAAAAAGCAGCGCCAATCGAAACAAATGGCTTCCGCTGAGCTCGAGCATGCAACAGTGAGAACTGGGTTCCAATCTCGCTGATGGAGCACTCCGACACACCATGGCATTGTGGAGCACCACTTTCCCCGCCGGATAATGTATTTGCGGACGTGCAAATGGGGGGTTGTCGACCGCTGCCTTGAAATGAGCGTTACAGGCGTAACTGGAAAGATGAACACATTTAATGGATGGATCAACGCTGTCAGCCTAACAGGAGTGCGTGAGCGCACAAGACGCAAAATGGAGCCGCGGCAATGCAAACAGTGACGTGCTCAAAACTGGGCCTGGTTAAACTCATCGATGCTTATCAGATGCGAGATTGTGGGTGGCAAAGGCACCGGGCGGGAAGGCGGAATTCGAAGATGGCTCGCAGATCGCAACGATAGATGATGCGCTTGAGCCACACGGGGGGTGGATCGCTGCTGGTGTCGATGACCCAAACGGCCACAGCTAACCACGCGATGATTTGGCTGCCCATGGCACCCGGCTGCGCTGCACGCTGCCGTGTGAATACGACTGCACGCGCTCATTTCGCGCCAACACCCACGGTCAGCGCAACAACGGCCGCACAGGGGCATGTCCCAGGAAACCACTGCCACGGTCGCGCGGCTTAGATCGCGCAGGAAAATACGACAAGACACCAAACCAGTACGACACGCCCCGGGCACCGCGCTCCCCACCACAACCCACATGCCGCGTCCCCAAATCTCAAATCTCGGCCACCTCACGCTTCCTTAAGGTGCGCGACGCTTTTTGGCGCGTCAGCTGCGTTTCCTAGACGCGTCCGAGACGTATCGGAGAATCCGCTGACGAGGCACGAAGGGCATCTGGCATCTCGCCACCCAACGGGCGCATCGACCACGGAAAGGCGAATAGTCGCTGACACCCAACTTGATTTGATTCCGAATCGCCCGACCCGGCCGTACAGAATCCCGGGATAGACGGCGGTCGTGGAGGCTGGCAACGCAGCCGGACATGCGGTCAATGGTGTGGTCAACGCGGTCAAAGCGGCCCAATCATGCCACAGCCGGTTCGGGGGTCACAACGGGTGTCCATGGGGACGCGGCAGGGGCGCGGGGGTGGGGGTGGGGTGGGAGAGGCTCTGTCACAGGGCTGGATGCGAGGCTGGACGGGAGACTGGAAGACAGGAGGCAGGGACTGGCCAGGCGCCGGGCGCTTGCAAATTTGGCAAAGGTAGATTTCCGAGCACCGTACCGAATGCCGATGGCCGCGGCAAGCTCGAAAATGGATCGGAGCTGAGGGGCGCGCTTGGAGGATGATTTGTGGCGCGTCGAGACTGGATGCTAGACAGGGCACTGGAAGGCATGAGGGGGCGAACGGCCAAGGGTGGATGATATTCAAATTTCGCAAGCGCAGGGGCCCGTTCGAAGTCAGCCGTACCGAATGCAAAGGCCGCGGGCTGCCAAAAATTGGATCCAACAGGCGGCGCCCGCCAAGAGAAGCGATTGCTGCGCAAGTCAATTGGGAGACAAGAGGGGCAACTGGCCAAGAGCCGATCGAATTCACATTCCGCAAACCACACGGAGGGTAGCGTGCGCCGGCCGTACCGAATGCAAAAGGCCGCGTGCGGCGAAAGTAGGATTGAAAAGGGAGCGGGCTGCCGCGTGGCTCCGTGGAGAAAGGACAAGGCGGTGTGCGCGCGGGCGGGAGAGCGTCAAGGCGAGGTGGGCCCCGAAAGAGGGCGCGGGGTGGATAGAGGTTAATGGCGGCGCTGCTGTACGACAAGCGAGGATCGCGCCGGGACAGCAATGTCGAGGAAGCGGTCAACAGTCGAGCCGATCTCGGCGCTGAGAAAAGAACCTCGAGACCTCCAAGAGGAAAGCGATGCACCGCACAGATCGTTACCTCGGCCATCGCGGAAGGGGGGGGGGACACGTGGTGAGAATCTGGGATCATGGGCATATCCCCGGAAAGGTCCTGAGCCAATGGCCGCCGGCGAGATCTGTTCAGCGGCGGATACTCCAAAAAGTCGGGCGAGCGTGGCTGAGGCATTAGGGCGCTTGAGGCCAGCGTTCCATCTGCTACGACAAATGGCGGCGGAAGGGGGGCCAGGGGGAATTCTCCATCGCAGCGGCGCGTGCCAGGATCAAGAAAGGGCGGGCGGGGAAGGGGTTCAATCGGGTGGAGCCACGAGCGCCGGAAACCCATAGAAATCGCCATCAGTTTGGACCCAGGTGCGCCGCCACAGGGTAGCCGGCACAATCCAGGTCGAGTATCTACGGGATGGGCAACTTGGCACTGGGCGGTCAACCCAAACAACGCGCCTCCACTGACAAGAGCCAGGTTTGGGGCGCAGGGGCCGTCGGCGTTTTCCAGGGTCTCGCGGGTCGCCGTACCTTCGCCCCTGCAAGGCGCCGAGCTCGTCCGACAGCTTCTGGGGGTAGGGCCGCGGGTGGCAGTCGCATGACCCCACCCCATGTTTATAGGGGCGGCGACTGGGGCCCAGGCCGCGGGGGGGGGATGTGAAGATTTTCAATGTACTGGAGGGGCTCTGACGCACTGCAATGTACTGCCGGACGTCACGCGGGGTGCTTGATGCGGGGCTTCAAGGAGTGTGATCCGTACAGAGGAGTTGATCCCGAATCACTCGTCCCTTGCGTGGCGCGGAGCCAGGGATCCGTGACCATCAGAGGGAGCAGATGTGGCAGCGCCCCTCCGGTGACGGGCGGACGCATGGGTAATGCGAGGTGACCCCAAGTTGCTGTCCCCGTTCGTGATGGTTATCTTCTGTGGGTGAGTGTGAGCTGGTGTGGGAGGTGTGGTTGCGGGCCATTTCGTGCGGTTTTGAGAGCCGGCGCCCTCGAGTTGGGAGCCGCAAACGTGGCGGTTGCATGGCGTTGTGCGCTGTGCTCGAAGCCGCTTGCGTGGCGGGATCTCCAAGATCGAGGTGGGGGGCGGCGGGCGCCAGATGGTGCTACAGACTTGGAGTATCTGTGTACCGGTGGCAAAGAATATTCGGGCCGTTCTGGGCCAAGTGTCTATGCCGCGTTGGCCGCGACGTGTTGGGGCATTTGGTCCCCGTCGTCGCTTGTCTTCATGGGGGTACCATTGTCGCTTTTCTTGTTGCCATTCCACAGGTATCCTTCACGGAAATTCCACAGGAGTCCTTCACGTTACTCACGACACGTGTGGGAGCTGAAATTCCAACCTAGGGTGCACCGCAGGTTGAATATGCAGCTACCGATCCACTGACTACCATCTAGCGGCTTCCAATTTGAAACTGGAAAGGGTGTTAAAATTTTAATCACCGGGCACCACTTGGCTCCTGTAGGGCTCATGGGGCATCTGAAGGCCACTGCAGTTCGCTGGGGTCACATGAGATTGGAGGGGCCACAAGAATCCTTGGTGGACCGCATGGATCCGCGGGGCCACCGTTGTGGGATCCTGGGGACCGCTGGGAACTGCTGGGAGCCGCTGGCAGCCATTTTGCGCGGTTCATGCACAGAGTCCTTTGCTTATTATTTTGCATATGGAATCAGTTATCGTGCAATTCGCATCGGTCCTGATGATTTGAATCAATGGACCACATAGAAAGCGTCCTGTATCTCTTCGCGGGGTTTCAGAAGATCGTCATTCATTTCTCTCCTGTACACACTAGATTTTCGCTCGATGGGCACAAACAGCGGTCTCGGCAACCCAGCGGTTCCGCTGCCCATGGGGGCTGATGTCGCGGGGAAGGTGCACCTGTCGCCGCACACCTTGCAGACGTGGCGGGAACCACGATACCCGATTTACACCCGTGTCGCACTCGCAGGCAGCACCAGGTTCCGCGTTTGGTCAGAGCGGGGGTCCCACCAGCAGCAGTGAGGGACGCAGGCGGGCTAGGGCGCTTGTGGTCCGCTCGTGCTGAAGCCTCGGGCCCCAACCTCTGGGCGGACCCCAGGCTGTGAGTGCGGGCGGGGCGTCGGGAGATGGAGCCCACCAGCCCCGGCGGCCTGCTGATGGCGCCGGCGGACGGGCGGGGGAGCCCTGATGGCCGCACCAACGGGAGGCAGTCCGCGGTCGGAGGAAGGCCGTCACCGCTTTTCTACGTGTGTCCGTACATCTTGGGTGCGGAGGTCGACCCTAGGCGTGCGTTCGATCTTGCTGAGCTGGAAATGTGTGACCGCGCTGATTCGTTCGGGCACGTTGGGTTTTGCGCAGGCTGCGAGCTGTGCGAGCGGCTGGCGTTCTATGGGTGAGCGCGGACCACCTTGGGACGAGCCTGAGTCGGAATTGTGCCAGAGGCTTTGGATGTTGGCGGCGAAAGGGAAATGATGGTTTCCTTTTTCTCGCTGCACCATGCGCCTTTTCGCAGCCAAGATTTTTCCAGCACGTTTCCAGAGAACTGCAAAGGGCCATCGCACGATAGGATTGCGCTGTCGCTTCGGAGGAAACTGCTGCTCGACATTGAGGTTGCCTCGAGTTATGACAAGCG